ACTGTGTCAAGCTGGAAAAAGTACTACACGTTTCTACCCCAAGCCCGAGAAACGGACGCCAACGTACGGCTTGCAGGAAAGGGATGCCTGGACGAGAACGGCTTGCACGGGACAGGCCACAATTGTTCAAATTGGGAATAATTAATTATCCTTCATGCGCGAAAGGGTAGGAGAACCGGCGACGCGACGCGCTGTAAGAGTGCGTTCTAAGTAGTGGACTGCACTCTTACAGGTTTACAAAAAAAATGGTAGAGTGTGTGTTTGTAGTCTGCTCGGTTTGCACATTCGCACTAGCCGTCAGTTTTCCTAGTTTTCCGAGCAGCTGGCGACCAAAGGCCATCGAAATTACAGACACAGCGGAACGAGTAATGAAGTAATGACCTCTTTAGTGTGCGATGTACAACCGACCGAGATACATCAAGGATTTGCGAAGAAAAAGAAAGAAAATCATCATCAATCAGCAGGATCCACGGCATCGGGATTTATGGGGAAATGTTGCATTTCTTGATGAAGCGGGCAGCATAGGATATGTCATTAACAGGAAATCTTAACTGCACACTGAAGATCACTGAAGATTGCATTACAGGACAACGGTTCGATCCTCAATATGAACGAAAATTTCACTTTCTATCAGGAAGTTGGGCGTCCGGATGACGAAGAAGCAACAATGTAAGTTGCGAACGTAATAGTAGAAGTTTTGAAAGCCACAAATAAAGTTGTGAACTGCAAACAAGCAAGAGAAAGGTTTACAAAAAAAAGCTGGTAGGGTGATAGAATATGAAAAGATGTTGAATCAAACCGCATGTGTTTTCTTTCCGAGACGCTGCAAACGCTGTCAAGGTTTTTCGGAGTTCAAATAGAGTGGCGTTAGGAGGTAAAGAATAAACGAAAGGAAAGAAGAGTCCAATAAGTATTAGTGTTTCGGTAGCTGAACTCTTACTACTCTCGATTACTGAGAAGTGTTTTACTTTGAGCTCACTTTCTGGCCATAGAACCAGAAAATATTAGTCCGTAGTGCTCTGCTGCGTAAAAAAAGCAAATGGCCACGGCTTTGTTCAATGACGTTGCTCAAGGTAGAAGATGGACAAATCGCTGAGGGTTCGTATCCAACAAGTGCGCTACAAATTCGGTGAGCGTTCTCAGCTGTGTTGGTTGTTGTGACTTATATGAAGTGGAACTTGCTCACGATCAACGAAGAGGCTATGTGTGTTATCGTACTGGGCCCTTAGAAGCTCTCTTGCGCCACACGCGCCTTCCCTCATTGCAACCTCTTCATGGGCGTCAAGCTGTGGTAAGGTGGAATCGCACCATCCTTTCTCGAGCAGCTCTTTTTACAAGTTTCAAGCTGCTATTGCTTGATATTCTCTCTCGTGAGTGCTCGGAAGTGGCTATTTCTGCCATTGCCAATGTAATTCTCTTTATTGCTCAACGCATCGTGATCTAGCGCACTGTCTGGGACCATTGTTCGTATTAGCCCACTTCTTAAGGTGAATTTGTTATCTAACAATAACAGCTTGAAAGTTTGCAGTTGCCTGCCGATCCCTTCGACATTTACTTAGCTTCGAGGAACTCTCCACAAGTTTAGAAACATCGCGAAAGGAAATCATTCGCCCACGCTATGAACATGCAATTAATCATTAGAAAGGGAGGGAAAAGAACGATCGAGCAAAAAACGGGAGCAGAACGGTAATTACGGCGGTGCGTCCTGCGCGAGCGGCCGTGCACCCTAGAGCTCTGCCGTATTGATGGATAATTTCATTTAAACTACATATTCTACGATTCATTCGTGTCAAGGATCATAATCATCTATTACTGCGCTACATCTGATCAGTTTTACTCGTAGCTCAGATCTCAGAGCGTCAGAGAGAGCTGAAACTCTTTTTTGTATTCGAAAAGGTCAGCGGTACCTACTGGTCAGTGTATGTATTGATCCATTCTTTATTGCTCAACGCATCGTGATCTAGCGCACTGTATAGGACCACTGTTCGTATTAGCCCACTTTTTAAGACGAATTCGTTCTCTTTTTTTGTTACATCCGAGTCAGTGGATACTCCATTTCGCTTAGTACAGTTCATTGGGGGAAGAAGCATAAGATGTTCAACTAATACGGCGATGGGTATGATCTAACAAGAGCAATCGATCCTGTCATCGAGGACCCAGCGCTGTCCCCTCACTATGAGACAGCTTTGAGATGTCTTTTGGAGATGAAAGGCCAGGTTCGTATGGTGTTATCAAAGAACAAAGCAGGAGGAAAACAACAATATCCATCAATAGAGCAGTGATTTACAGAATGAAGTTATATATCTGGGATCTAAGATATGTGTTTTGAAACAACCGTTGTCTTGCGCTTCCTTTTACAATCAGAATGTTTCATCACTGTTGTATCCTCCCGTGATGACAGTGGTCGCGAACGTACTGTTGCTGTTGTGATCGGTGTAGAAGAAAGCGCTGCGCCTAATGCTTCCTCTGGGTTTTACATGATACTACCTGCATCAGACAGATATTTGCTTTTCTATCAGTCGACTGCCGTCGAGAATGGACCGTTTCACAGGCAATAGGACCAGGCTTCTGGAAACCGTTCTCCCATTTTCTCTCTTCGTCTCCTTATCAAAGGGAAGATCGCCTCAACTCGGTTACTTCTGAGAATGAAGACCTTTTATTAGGCCATAGCATTGTAAATCTGAGTGGAATTGTATAAAAGCCGCTAAGATCTCCTACGCAAAGACGCTGATTATGCCCGGTGCACACTTTCAGAAGTTTACTGTGGCCCCTCTAGTGTTGTTTGTGACCTTCTTTCTTCCAATGAGTTATCTTTCTTCCGAATCTCAGACTACTTCCATGGAGGCAATTCTTTATTTTCTGATGCTTTTTTTGAAATTGTGATCCTCAGGCGATACCGCGCGCCCTCTCCGCGTTTTAAATCCGTTCTTTTGCAAAAACATGTAGCCCCGCGTTGGTGTTAAATGCTTGACGGCTAACATCTGTTCTCTTACTATATTAGAAATCTTAATTAATTGAGTTTTCTACTCTCAAGAGGATTACGGAATAATTCGCTCTTCAGAGACGTGATTGGAAGGTGACTTGAAATTTCGTTTTCTTAGAGATTTGGGTTCGGGTTACGAAATCTTCAAAATGTAATACATGTATGTAGATGGACAACGTCAAGGCTAATGCCGTTTGGACTCCAGCAATCGTCTACCGCCGTAAATTAAATTGTGGCCGACGTGGTCACGTACCGTCCTTACTATCTCACGCGCTGCACTGGCGTTGTTGTGCCTGGTTTCACTCATTTTGTGTTCTGTTTTATGATTGTTGTGTCTTTGTTGCACATGTTTGTTTTCCATGTTTCTCCTGTTTCTTAATTTTTTTCGTTAATGAGCTATTTTCGGAGGCTAACACGCTGCTCGCGTTGCAGTGATGGTCAGAAGGGTCTTAGAGAATTTGGATGTGAACGGTGTATCTAGCGTGACACAGGGAAAGCAATGGACGATTCCGCACCCAACGAAGCTGCGCTACGCACAAAAGTTCCATAATGAGGTAAGTCTCTTCTTGCGATGCTCTCTAAACGAAGCAGAGGTAACCTCTTTGGAAAAATTTCGCTCGTGCCCGTTTGAATCCTCTTTGGGGCGCTCTATATTATGAGCCCGTTCAACTGTTCGAGCTTGCTTCAAGTATCTCATATGAACCTTTCCCATGACAGTACCATACCAGGGTCACTTATAATGATCGTGAACGTAGAGGAAATCCAGGGAAAGACTAGTGCAACTTACGATCTAAGTAGGCATCCTTATGGTTTCTACAAAGTTTCCTGAAGCACATTTTCGGCTTCCTTTGCTGTAAATAACATCCCCTCGCAATACGAGCTGCCCCGCTTCCTTTTTCCTGGCTTTTGTAAATTCTTCTCATATAATTAATAAATTACTTGTCGGTGCTAAGTTTTTGATTGTTCCCTTCCTTGTCATCTCTGTGTACCATTTCTCATCCAACACATTCGCAAAGTGCTGCAATTCTTGAGGTGGTTACAGTAGTCTATCATACGAATGCTTTACAAAGTAGACCATATTTGCTTGAAGGGATTTTGTGAAACCCGTAAAAAGCCATATTCGGATCGCAATCACCCGATCTCCCCTTCGAATTCCGCTTTCTCAGATCGCTATGAAAAGAATTCACTTCAATTGAAGGATTTTCCTCAATTGCTACTCGATAAACTATAAGTCGTTGATCATTACTGAATGACTGCCATACTGTACTACGATGAGCAAAGTCCATCGTTGTTAGATTTTCATCGTAGTAGAATAAGGTTTTGAACTGACCTCCGGGAGGTTGTATACGGGAGGTTGTATATCATAAAATATAGCGCCCCAATGAGAATTATTCAAACTCGCGAACTTTTGTCAAAGACACTACTTCGGCTTCGTTTAGATAGCATCTCTTCTTGCTAGATTTGTGACTGTCCGCAGTATGTCTGTGACTTGACAACAATTTTCGGTGCTAACGTATTTGGGAGGGGCCACGCCGCTCGCGGCGAGTGATGACGCATCGACCCTTCTGATTTATCCTCGGCAAAATAGAAGTGATTCCATGTTTAGGACATGGACACCGTTCTCGCTATATCCAAAAGCTAAAACAGTTAAATCACGAACGACTGTTGCTTTTTTGATGTTGACCATTATTCTTGACTACAAAAGATCAAACATTTGTTGTTCTCAGCTTCTGTGGGATTTCTCAGCAAGTATTCGGTGAATCTTGTTTGTTTTATTCTAATTTTGCTGCTAGATTAGCGCTCCAAGTATGTCAATGAGTGAAGAGCCGATGAGTCATCACTCGCCGCGAGCCGCTGGCCCTTTCCAAACACGTTAGCACCCAATTTCCATTTTTCCCCCCGTTATTTTTTGATGTATTCCCTTGGAGCAGGGCCCAGTAGATTTTATGTAAATTTCATCTGAGCCAAAGTGTTCTTAAAAAATTGAAGGAGACCTTAAAAGTGAGTTTGCTTTGAAATGTACATGTTGCTTCTTGTACTCAAGTTTATCAACGATCAGAGAGAGGACGTGAAAATTGGCACTGCATTATTTTCTCAATTACTGGACGAATCAGAACCATCTCAGTTCGAGAGGATGTATGTAGCTTTCCTTTCATGGATAGGATCGAGAAGCGAAGGAATGCTATCGGTAGGCGGATTCTCCAAAGTCACTAATGGCTCTCACGCGTGCGTTTTAGCACATGAACATGTTGTATTCCGGAAGGAAAAGCGAATGAGCTGCGTGCTATAGACGAAAAACACCGTTTTCGACCTCAAATCATGCGGAGGCCTTCATAGAGCACTGAAGCACGAAGATCTTAAGGAAAAACAAAACAGTCGTCTTGATAACCTTCTCTTTTCAATTTTGGAATACTCTGCAGAGAAATCAGTCTTCTCTCCCAGGTCAGCTTGAGAGGCGACTATGTGAAGATAACATCCGTCATGACTTTCTGCTTTTAGTACTAGAGGATTGACAGGTGCCTCTTCAAGAACGTATAAAACTCTCCAGCGTCATAAAGAGGCCTCTGTTCCACTACGCCGAGAACAAGGTGCTTCTTGATGCGGTCCCTTTCGTAACCACTTCAGCACAAGATCATTGCAGGACAAAATTTTTGAGCTGGAGCCGCGCGCGTGGGGAGTCCCATCGAAATCAAAGCTAGAAACGATTTATTGGGTCAGGATTAATAAATCATGTGACTGCGATCTCCTTGTAAGTTCATTTTTGCAACTGGCTCACAAACTTCAGCTCACACTATCGTTCCTATTATCGCTCATTAACAGGCGGCCTTTTCGCCATATACAGGTTGGTAACCTCTGCGTATGCCTGCTCTTCACCAAAAGTATTCTTTTTCAGCACTGCCAGGTGTTATTTCCAATGAAAATCTTTGTATCTTTCATGGCTCTTCTGGGAGAAATCCAGGTATCTTAATGCTCACAGTATCGTCCCTCCTCATTCTAATGAACAAGTCGATTCTTCGTCAAATGCAGGTTAGTAACCTCTGACGCTGGCTTTTGGCCGATCAGCCAAAATCCGAACTATTAGTTGTACCTTCCAGTCATCCCAGTACCTCACAGATCAAGAATGTTGTGCCTCCTGACCCACATAAACAGGTCTCTTCGTCAAATACAGGTTGGTAGCCTCTGACGACGGCTGTTTTGGACCGCGAAAAATATCCTTTTCCAGCAACTATTGCTCTTTCCAGCAAAAATCCGAAAACCTTCCAACTCGATTTCATGCCTCCCAGCCCTCATGAGCAAACGCTCTTATCAATATGCAGGTTGGTAACCACTGGCTATTTCGGACCACCAAAAGGGATCCTTTTTCAACGATTATTATTTGTAGTTTTCAGTGGAAATCCGAGTATCTTTCAGATCATAAACGTCGTGCCTCTCAACTAGCTAGGATTATATTCATTCCTACATGTCTCAGCTATGTGCGGATTAGCCGCTATTTATGACGACGGAATTCTATTCGCGTCCAGCACATCGAAAAGTTGTTTTTAATGAAACATTCTTCCATAGTGGAATAAAACTCAGGTTACTCTACAGACTACAAACCGTACGCCCAACCGCGGAACTTTCATATGGTGTGGGGAAGTTGTGAAAACTTTCATATGGTGTGGGGAAGTTGTGAACCTTTCATCCCGACGGGTTGCTTTTTGTTTATTGTGCGCCTCAGAGATATTACTTTTTTGGTGAAGACATTTTGCAGTTTCGTGACTTTTAACATGTAAAGAATAATATGGTTATAATGAACAGCTTCGCTATCGCATTATTCCTTTCTGCATATTCATCGTCATGTGAAGAAATTCGCATAATAGTAACATCGTTTTCTTAGGCAGAATGAAGTATAAACTTCTGAAAAACGAATTCATTCACCTGTTTTGCGGTCAGTATTGTTTGTGTGAGGTACAAAAACTGCATAGACAATGAGCACGTTACGTAAGGCCGAGCTAAAGTTGAGCAAGGTTAACGGCAGCAGTGGTTATCATCATAGTGAAATCCGCTCACCGGACGGGGAGGGGGGGGGGTGTAAAGTCACAGAAAGAGGTTGCCTTCGACTTGGCTTTGTATTTTTTATTTATCGTCCTCTCCGCTTCCCCCATACGGGATGACTGCTTTATTTACACATGGCAGGATAGTTAGTGAATGGGTTTTCGGCTGGCCCGAGATACAACACATCAAGTCCGTCTACATGATTGCTTTGAAGAGTTAGTCTTCAAAAAAGGTCAAAAGCTCCAGAAAAGAACGGGATTATTCATTTTCTCTGTTTCTGTGAAGATAGATCCTTACTGATCGTTAACTTGATAACAAAATTTAAATGAAATAATAGCACCAGTAACTACTGTTTTATTCAGAAATATCTCTGCCTGCTATTCCCTGTACATAAACAAGAAGCCGCGCGTGTGTTTGTGGGTGCCCCAAGACCCTAAATCAAAAATCTCATTTAGCACGCTGGGCTGAGATCACAGGATGAGGAAAATAAGTGAACTTTAGCAAATGGCGGAAAGATGAAGACAGGGATACACAACCGTAGTGATTGAGCATCCATCAGGAAATGATTGCTGCGATAGCTCGCAAATTCTAGACGATGACAGTGGTATACTCGCGCTGAACACCACACCTGCCTCACTGGAGGTCAAAATTAAAAAAATTGTAGTTGATTCTGTTCGTTTATTTATTTACTTACTTAATCAGCACAGCGCTCCTTAACAATCACAACGTTCCCAACGTTTATAGAAAATTTGGAGGATTGCCTTCTAGGGGGGGGGGGTATATACAACACATGAAACGGTAGAATTTGGTAATTTTCGAAGAAAAAACTATTTTCTTACTATCGCCCGGTGAAGCCGGGCGTTCCGATAATTTGAAGGGTATTAGAAGCCTCACGGTGACCCAAATGTTTGATCTCGCATGAGTGAGTAGCTGTTATTTTCAACTGAGCGAAGTAGTTCTATTTGCTGCTGTGATGGATGTCAAAATATACATTTAAGGAAACACTGCAATGTCTAAAACTAGGCAACATTTTCTCGAGCTTGCATTGTTAAGAACATGAAAAAACTGGTAACCCTTGCACACTCAGGATATTCAAGAATTGTGGCTAAAATTGTGAAAGCTGGCTATCCTAGACGAATGTCACTGCAAGAGAACTGCGTCAGACATTTCCTTCCGAACTCCTCACAGAAAACAACAGCGTATGAGAAACTGTTACCGTTTCGTGTTGAAGGGGTAGTGCGCTCCAGTCCGAAAAGCCCACTACAATGTCGCAGGAAACTCATCCCCGAATTTTCCCCGTTGTAGATTCAGCGGCGAGTGTAACGATAAAGCCCTAACTTCCCCAACATCTCCGGGCACCACTGAGCGAATTTTCCAAGTGTTGCGCGTGAGATAGGAAGGATGTCGCCACGTCCGCCACAATTCAATTGACGGCTGTAGACGGAATTGCTGGAGTCCAAACGGCATTAGCCCAACGTCAAACGGATGGAGGCGTCCTTCTATTAGTCGAGCAAGACTTCTACCTGTTTTGACCTTTGGTGAAGCTGTCCAAAATGGTTACGAAGTAGTCGCTGATCTTTACGTGGGTGGAGACAAGTGTATATTTTGCGCCACAAGTCTCCTAGTTGCTTGAGTGGTACATGCGATACAATGATTGAACACGTTAGCGACCTATGCGGTGGTGTGCAGGCCTTGCCTTCTCTTTGGAGATTCCAACATGCGGGCATAGGTACACAGGGACGACCATGTTTTGGGTTTATTATTTTGTACTTTCTCGGTGGGGTTAGAGTGGGTCCTCTTATTGGCTCAAGTGGCTATGCTAGCATTGAATTTTGTATGAGGATAGGTCTGATCTGTTCTAGGATAGGTCTGATCTGTTCTTACTTGGAATCCATTGACTAGTGTGGGTCTTTCAATGGTCTCGACGTCAATGTATGAATTGATGCTGTTTGCTCTTAAGGACTGCAGAAAACTTGTCCTTTTGCATAGGGTTACAATGAAGAAGATCCTTATCCTGCCATATCTTCATTCGCTTTTCTTCAAGAGGGTAGCGTTATATAAAAAGGCTGTTTCAGCAAACACATCCAGTGACTATCAATCTCATAAGGTCATAGCAGGAAGGATCGTCAAAAAGATCTATAAGTTGAACTGTCTTCTGGGAAAAGAATCTTCGGAAACGGGAGCAATTTCGCTCTATTCGAATACATTACTTCCAAAACGAAATAGAAAGAGAGGTGCTTTTGTGAAGCCTGATGGATACATTGTGGTTCCTGATAAAGTTAAGGCGGAACATTTCGCAGAAAAGTTTGGAAGAATTCTCGTGAAAGATGGGGTAAATCTTGGAAGTAGTGAGTGACCTGATTCTTTCTCTCGAATGTATAATTCACTACGGTTTAGCGTCCAAGGGATATCTGAGCTTTTTTCAAAGTGGAACTCTGGTTCTTCAACCACACTCGATGCATCGTCCTTTGCTCCATCAAGAGAGTTCTTCCATCAGCTGTCGGCCCGTTGCAATTCCAACTTTTCAACTTGAGCCTCTTTCGAGCGAGGCTTCCTGATAGGTGGGAGCATTCCTTCACTACGCCTATTCCTAAGAAATTCCCTCAACACCTATCCAGTAAGAGTGGGCCAGTCAGCATTACTTCTATCTTTGTAGGGTTTAAAAGGTTATTAGAAGAGTGCTTAATTATAGTTTGTAACATTGGAATTTGTCGGAGACGGCGAGCGCAGCGCGGCACGAGCTCGCGTCTAGCCGCCTTGCTCTACCAATGGTGATCGAGCAATGATCGATGTAGGAAGGAATCAGCCACTGGTGGGAAGGCCGCAGGTGGGAACCGCTGATTGCGACCCGACAGGTCGCGGTGATATAAAACGTACAGCTCATTTGGGATACCATAAGATTCTTTCGGAAATTTAGCACGAGTTCAGGAGTGGGAGATCAATTGCGACCAGAACGACTGAATCCTTAAATTACTGGACTTCGCCTATGGACGGTAAGGAAGAAGTGGATGTGGTTCACACCGATATTTGCAATTTTTGCGTATGACAAGATCAATCACATCAAGCTTTCTATGAAGCTGCGACATGTTGGTTTCCTTCAAAGAGCTGTGTCGAGGATCGAGTTATTCCAAAATCAGAGATCTTCTCAAGTGCGCATCAATGAAACATTTTTTAGCACCAGATCAGCTCCTAGTTAGGCTTTGCGAGGCAGCGTCTTTTCACCGTTGTTACTGTTGTTTTGTATTTTACATTTGAGCTACCTCGCAAGAAAGATGCAGAAACCATTCTCAGACAGTCTAAGTCGTGGGACTGCCCTTGGCGTAAGGAAAAACTTCAGTTCTTCACATAGTGTAACTTCCCGAAGCGACTACAATTATTCTATTGATGGACAGCTACTTAGAGAAAATGGGGGGTTAAGAGATCTAGATTTTATTCACTAATCACAATATGACCTTTAATTCCACTGTTTGACAATAGTGGGTGGAGCAGAAAGAAGCTATTTATTTCAGCCTCTAAGAAGCTGCATACCAGGAACCTTTGCACACGTATTAGGGCGTACAAGGTATATATCGGAATATTCCAGGTACGGGTCTGCTGTCTTCTACCACAATAATGAAGCTATCAATAGACTGCATGCTGCACAGAAGAAATTCACCAGGAAATTTCTAATTAGGGCACCGGGGCTCGTTTAGAGGTATTGAATAACATACTTGGAATGGATTTTTCTCTTTAGAAGGAAAAAAATGGCCTATTAAAGCTGTTCAAAGTACTGAGAGTAAGGCCTGCGATTGATTTAGGAGGCTCTCTCACCCTTTGCCCGTGTAACACAAGAGGGGATTTACTGCAACTTTTCTTCTCAGAGCTAGGTCTAACGTCAGAGCGAAGTGTTTTACTGTGAGGGCTCCCACCGAATTCAGGAAGTTTGCTGATAGTGAGAAGCATATCATGCTCGGAAGCCTAGCTCAGCTCAAGAGGGGCTTCGCATTTCTGCTCATGCTGAGAACTACTACGGTTTCTTTTCTCAAATTTTGTTGATTCTTGGAAGGACGGTCTGCTTCGTAGATTAATCTGTTTCATTCTGTTTTTCTTCTTTTTTACCTTC